TGTCAATGATTTAACTTTGTTTGAGACAAGGTCTTGCTATGTAGCCCAGGCTGGCCTTGAACTCACTATGTAGCCTAGGCTGGCTTTGAATTCATGGTGATCCTCCTGCCTCAGCCTTCTGAGTGCTGGAATTACAGGCCTACACCACCATGTGTTCAGCTGTAACAATTTTATTGTTTGCAAAATCCCTCAAATTAAGCTAGTAACCTATCTTAAGGCTGATTATTTTCTCCTAGAACTCATCTGAGTTCACAAAAGACTGGGAGTATTATGATTTTTTTAAATTCCAAAATAATAACAATAATAATAATAATTTTTAGAGAATTCTTGGATAAGTCTGACTGAATGGGGTTTTAACTTAATGCTCTTGGTCAGTAGTAATAATAGCACACGGGGGTATAGCTTAGTGGTAGCATGCTTGTATAGGTGGCACAAGGCCCTGGTTTCACTCTAGCACCACAAAATAATAATAATAACAATAATAATAATGGCACTTGAAGTTACAAAGTCTTCCTTCAGACTTTAGATCTCATTTAATATTTGTAACTTAGGCATAATTTTCAGTTTTTTATTGTGATGATATATATATGTATATATTTTACCCAAGAGCAGTCTACCACTGAGCTACATCCCTTTTTATTTTACCATTTAAATTTTGAGACAGAGTCTTGCTAAACTGCCTTGACATGCAGGACTAGAATTTGCAATCCTCCTGCCTTAGCCTCACTCAGTACTGGGATTACAAGCATGTGCCACTATGCCTGGCCTCACCTTAACTCTTGAATCTGCAACTCAGTGGCATTAACCGCATTCACACTGTTGGGACCATCACCCAGCATTTTTCCACCACCCAGACTGAAATTCTGGATCTATGAAACAATAGCTTGCCATTCTCCCCTCTCCCAGCCCTTGGTAACTATTCTTCTTTCTCTCTATGATTCTGCCTGGTCAACGTTCTTATATAAGTGGAATCATGTAATATTTGTCCTTTCATGTCTGGTTTATTTCATTTAACTCAGTGTGTTCAAATTTCATCCATGTTATAGTGTGTTATCAGGATTTCCTTCCTTTTTTATTTTTTTCTTGTGGTATGAGGGATTGAACCTAGAGCCTCCCCACTGAGGTACATTCCCAGCTCCTCCCCACCTTGCCTTTAAAAAACTGTTTTTTTGACATAGGATCAGCCTTGTTAAGTTGCCCAGGCCGGGCTCGAACTTGAGATCCTCCTCCTTACCCTCCCAGCATGCTGGGATTGACACATGTGTGAGCCACCCAGCCAGTCTCATTCCTTTTAAAGCTTAATGTGGCACATAATGCATTTTGTTTAGACATTTATATAATGCTGCTGTATTTGAACATGGGTATCCAAGTATCTGTTCAAGTCCTTCCTTATTATTTCCATTGTACAGATAAGAAATCCAAGACTCAAAAAGACTGCTAGTCTCACAGGCTGTACAAAGCCAGAGCTGTGTTCAGGCCCAGGTGGGCGACAGTGATGTGCCCATGTCTGGGGGCCCGTGTCCGTGAGCGCTCAGCTGTCTGTGGGCACACAGGAAGGGAACAGCCAGGAGATTGGCTGAAACGGAAGCTTCAGAGGCCGGGTCTTCAGAGGGACCCAACTACCAGCACCAGACAGTGGCCACAGGGAGCCCCGCCAGAAGTCTCAAGGTGCCCCAAGGGCAGTGAAAACAAGGCCATTCACTCACCTGAGGCTGAAAGAAGTGGCCCGGGCTCAATCTGAGCCTGCAGCCCTTGGGCACCTCAGCCAGGCCCCTAGGGCACACCGGACAGGCAGGAGGGACAGAGCTGCCCCTGCCCCTCAGATTCCACTCCGGAAGAGCAGGCTGAGAAGCCCCAGGGGGAACCCCTCCCAATCCTTATCTTTCTTGCAGGTGGCAGCAGAAAATAGCTGGAGCACCTGACTATGGTGACACCCTGGGTTGGGGCTGCAGGGGGGGAGTCCCCGTGAGCTCAGAGGGCTGTGACCACACTGAGCCCATCATTGGTACCTGGCTTGGCCTCCTGCCCACCTTGAAGGCAAGAGGCCCGACAGAGCTCTGCTTCTTTCTTTGTCCCTGTGCAGGCTGAAGTCACTCATGCATTAAAATGAGAAAAGACACATGCGGTTTGGTCTCAGCACTGGACTCCAGGAGCTCTTGAAATGAGTTGTTTTTGGTCACCCACATTCATTTCTCCTCCTTTGGGTAACAATGCCTTGATTCCCCTTTGGGAAAACCACCCCCTCCCTTTCTCTCTTTAAAATTTTTAATTATGGTAAAATATACAACATTTTAAAATTATGGCAAAATATACACTATAACCATCTAAGTGTACAGTTCAGCAGTGTTGAAAACATTTCTCTGTTGTACAGCCAATCCCCTTCCTTCTTAAGAAGTCAGATTTAAGTAGGACATGGTGATACACACCTGTAATCCCAGCATTTTGGGAGGCTGAGGCAGGAGGATTGCAAGTTTGAGCTGAGCCTGGGCAACTTAGCCAGATCCTATCTCAAAATGAAAAATAAAAAAGGGATGTAGCTCAGTGTGAAGGCCCTGGGTTCAATCCCCAATACTTTCAAATAATAGTAATAATAATAATAAATAATTCCAGTTTATTTGATCTGATGCCAACTCCTGGCTCCAGGATGGAGCCCACAAATAAGGCTAGACCTATTCTAGCGTCCTCTTTCCCCAGCCACAGTGACTGTCTATACTAAGCACATTGTAGGGCTGGGAATTTAGCTCAGTAGCACCATGCCTGCCTGGCAAGCTCAAGGTCCTGGGTTTGATCCTCAATACCGAAAACAAAACAAAACAAAAACAAGCACATTGTGAAAGCTGAGCTCCTGAGAATCAATCCAAAGGTAGGTGTAGAACTCATGGGAACCAGCCCTTCCCTTCCTTCTTCCCATGCCAAACAGGTGGGGATGACTCAGAGCATGGCAGCCATTCTCCTGCCCACATAGAGGAAAGCAAAACCCAAGCGTGGACACAGATGACCCCAGGAATGATGTTGAAGCCCCTGGGTCCTGGCATGCTGGGAGCAATTGCCTGGAAACTTTTTAGTTATATTAAACAATACATCTTTTCTTTGCTAATTCTTGTTTGAGTTGGATTTTTGTCATTTGTAACTGAGAGAATCCTACCTAGAGCTGGACATACAGTTCAGTGGTATAGTGCTTGCTAAGCATGCATGAGGCCCTGGGTTCAATCCCTGGCACCACAAGAAAGAGGAAAGGAAAGGGAAGGAAAGGAAAGAAACCATTGAACCTGGGAGAGGGGTGCAGCTCAGTGGTAGAGGACTTCCTGGCCTATGCAAGGCCCTGGCTTTGGTCCCCATCGAGTAGTCGAGTAGTTGTGTGTGAGGATTTGAAGATGCAGACAGCAATGCCATTCCTGCCTTATCTCTTCGAGCTCTCAGAAATCATCACCCAGCCCACCCTAGAGTCCCCCACAAGCTGAGCACATGACATGTGTTCACTGACAAGTTGACAAAAATGGTTTTGGGGGGAAAATTGGTGCAATCAAGAAATTCTATCAAAGGGGGGAAAATGACAAAAATGTGTTCCTGATGCATAATGGCACAGGAGGGGACACGAGCACCTGTGACTGCTTACAGAGAAGCTGGTCCCGAGAAAGGTGGTGCTTGTTGTCACAGTGGGAAGCCCACCCTCCCCTAACTGAGTGGCTGTCGCGCAGCTCTCCCACAAGGGGGTTGTGCTAGGGTCCACAAGTCTAGTCCACACTTGAATATGTATGGGTTGCAATCAGGACTAGCACCGCTGGTGTAGAAGCTCAAGACAGATGGCCAGGGCGATCGCCACAGACCTCAGGACAAAGACCCCGGAGCCTGCTCTCTGCTTGGGACCCTGCCCGTGGGTGCCACACTAGACCTGTGGGGGCTGATTTTGGATGGTGCTTGAGAAGTCATCCCCCGTTCCCCGGGGGCTGTGCACTGGATAAAAGCACCTTCCTCTCTGTGAAGCTGTTTTGGTTTTTGTTTTTAACCTAAAAGCAGGCCTTGTAGGTTTTTTCTCTCCCTGGGCCTGCCACGATCCAATCTCCTTTAGGAACTCCCAGGCACACGTGTACAAGCAGATGGGGGCCGTGAGAAAAGAACCGAATCCCCAGGCTCTAAAGCCCAACAAAGTACTGCAGCCTGAGCCCTGTGTGGCCCGGAGCGCGTGGTTACATCGCACAGGAAATCCGCCGGGTCAGGGCCATAAACTGAAAGCTTCTACAGACAGTTCCTAACAGGCTGCGTCCCCTGGAGTCCCCTCGGCCTCCCAGGAAGCCCCTGCACATCGGTCCTGTCCAGGGCCCATTCTTAGCTTCTGTCCTCTGCCCCCGGGAGCACCCACCGCGCTGGGACACGTGTTCACCTTCTCTCCCCGATGACACAAAGCCCCCAATTCCTTCGTGCCCAGCCCCTGGGTACAGGTGGATGAACGTTGACCCTGCACCCAGCCCACGTGGAAAGGCAGCATGGAAGGCTTCAGAGGACCCCTGGAAAAAGAGTCTGAAGAGCCTGAGTTCTAGCTAGGGATGTTGGCCACACCTGTAATCCCAGCACTCAAGAGGCTGAGGCAGGAGGATCACGGAGAGTTTCAGGCAGGCCTGAGCTACATAGCAAGTTCAAGGCCACCCTGGGCTGTACTGAAAAGCAAACAAAGCAGAGCCTGAGTTCCAGTCTCCCTCTGACACTTTCAGCGGCGGCTCCGAATAACTCCAGTGGCCCTGTCCAGGACTAATGCCTGCACGGAGGGTCTCTGGGGTCCTAGTTGCATCCCGGGACCAGATCACGTCGATGTGCTCAGGTAGCTGAGCATGAGTCTCAAAGAGCGAATCCAGGCAAGGGGGACTCGCAACCCGCAACCCACACCCCCACGTCGCGTGTCGAGGTCTCTTGACAGCGTCGCCGCCGCGGCTGCGCCCACGTGCGAGCTACAGCCCCGACCCCCCCCCCGCGCGTGGGGACCGCCCCCCCGCGACCCCACTCACGGCCGCGAGCGCGCGCGGCTCCGGCTCCGGCTCCGCGGGGCGCATCGTCTCGGCCGCCGCCACCTCCTTCTCCTCCTCCTCGAGAGCAGCCTAGCGCCGGCTATTTTAGCGCTTGCGGAAGGAAGGACGGAAACAGGTCACATGGAGCTGAGCGCTGCGACTCAGCATAGCGGACTGGGGCGCTGGGTCACCGGAGGTGGCGCTTGCTCGCCTCGGGGTTGAGGGTTGGGCAGCTCGGGCCCTGGTCTGGTGACCTGAGGAGCCTCCCCCAAGGCTCCATGCGGGGACAGTCTGGGCTGCAGCGCTCATGGCCCGTCCGTCTGTCCACCCAGCCAGTTGTCATTAATGATCTTTTATGCGCTCAGCAAGAGATCTGGGGGGGCGGGGTACCGGGGATCGAACTCGGGAGGGACCTTGCGCTTGCGAGGCAGGCTGCGGAACCACTGAGCTAAATCCCGGCCCTAAAAGAGATCTTTTTAGGGAGAGGGGAGAAGTAGAAGGAGGGGGGAAGAAAAGGAGGAAAAGAAAAAAGGGGAGAGGAAGGGAGGGTGGAAAGGAGAAAAAGAGAAAGAAGAGTGAAAGAAAAAAAGAAAGAAAGGGAGAGAGGGAAGGAGAAAGAAGCAAAAAGAAAAGTAAAACACAGTGGAGCTGCATGATGGACTGGCAGTGCCCTGAGCCTCTCAGCACTGGCAGGGATGGGCTTGAATTACCTAATGCGTCCACCGCCCCTGCAAGATCTTACCCAGAACCCCAAAGCATGCACATCAGTGACACAGCCAAGGTGGAAGCGGTGCCACTCTGTGCTCTCAGAGCTGCTTCCATGGTGCTTCCCCTCTGGTGGGGAAGCACAAATAGCCACGGCACCACTTCTCGATAGCAGCCGAAGAAGGGGAGCCAGCTCCAGCCTCCCCTCTCCTGGGGGGATCTGGGGTATCCCGCAGGGCTGGGTCACCCTCTTGGAGCCAGGTGTTTGTTGCTCACCCTGAGAGAACAGGAGCCAGTCCTTCCTGCCCAGCCTGCAAGTAGCCTCTGCCCCCTGAAGCAGGCCCTGTCGAGGGGGCATGGATAGCACCAAGGTACAAACCAAGCAGGGGCAAATTGTCACAATCAACTTTTCTGATCGGCCTGTTTCCTTTTGCTGTAGACACAGGCCCTGCTCCTGTGTCTTTAATGTCCACTAATATGCTGGTGACTCCTGGATTTTAATCTCTAGCTCCAAAATTCTCTCCCGGGAGCGAACATTCAGACTCACACTTTAAGCTGTCTACTGGTCACTCAATTCTTAGATATCCGAGTCACCACGACACAATGAATCCCAAGTGGAGCTCATGTCCTTTGTCCCAGCCTCTTTCTCTCCCCATGTGGCTGTGACCTTCTATGGCCTGCTTCAACCCAGGCAGCCCAGCTCTGAGATTCCTCTTCTCACATGCAATTGGTCACCAGTTCCTGCCCATTCTAACTTGCAAATCAATCTCTCTCTCTCTTTTCTTTTTTTGAAACAGAATTTTGCTACATAACCCAGGCTGGCCTCAAACTTGCAAAGATCCTCCTGCCTCAGCCTCCCAAGTGCTGGATCACATATGTGCGCCATCACACCCAACCAGAGATGAATCCTTGGGTCTATGCCTCCCCAGCTCATGTCTAGACCATTTCAGCAGCTTCCTTAAACTGGCTCCCTGCCCCTGATCTTGTCCCTCTCCAATGTAGACCCCACCCAGAAGCCACTGCATCGATCTAAAGTGTGTCACCTACTCCTTTCTTACACTCCCTTCATGGTTCACCTCTGCATCCCTTACCCGGCTGGTTTAAACCCAGGTTCTGCAGATTTAAGAGATCCTCTTGGGTACCTGAGTTCTCCCCTTATCCTGTGTTATACCTTTTATATATGGGAATTCTCTACAGAATTGCTTTCAAGAAAGTCAGCCACTTAGCCGGGCATGGTGGCACATGCCTGTAATCCCAGCACTTGGGAAGCTGAGGCAGGAGGATCACTGTGAGTTCTAGGCCAGCCTGGGCTACATAGTGAGTCCAGGGCCAGCCTGAACTACAAAGGAAGACCCTGCCTTAAAAAAAAAAAAAAAAAAAGGCAGCTGCTACCTTCCAGAAAACTTTAAAAACCCATGATCTACACCTGTACAGAGCAAGTTTGAGTCAGAAAAAAAAAATTAAAACCCCATGGTCTACCCAGACATGGTGGCACATGTCTGTAATCCCAGAACTCTGGGAGGCTGAGGCAGGAGAATTGAAAGTTCAAGCCTAGCCCAGGCAATTTAGCAACTTAATGAGACCCTGTCTCAAAATTTAAAAATACAAAAAGAAAAGGATGGAGATGTAGCTCAGCGCAAAGGCCCTGGATTCAATCCTCAGTACTGAGAAAAAATGAAAAGCAAAAGGCCACAGGTCTTAACGGTTGTGTTGACAGCCAGTTGGTTGTCAATAATGCCATCCTCTTTCCTCTAGCCCCAAGCTGGCTTTGTGGGGACCCAAAGCCTTGCAGCTGAACCAGTCAGCTTGGCAACTGAAAACAACCTTCCTGGGGCCCACAGAGCCCCGATTCTCCCTCTTGGCTGTGTGGCCAAGGCAGGGATCAGAGCACCGCTGTTCAGCACGAGCTGGGTGTACTGCCCTGGCCCAGCACACCTCCCGCCCCGGCCACCCCACACCCCAGCTCCCGGGCCACACGTACACCTCAGCCACAGAATAAAGTGCCCCACACAGTGCCGCCCCCATCACAGAGCTGTGTCGCTCACAGTGGCTTCTCCTCTGTCCACCCCTATCCTCCCCATCCCGGAGCCCGGCCCCTCCTCCTCTGAACCCACAAGGGTGGGTCTGCAACATCCACTGGCCTCAGGGGAACGCTTGTGTTGTTTAAATTTTCAGATTTCTGTCTTGTTTCCCCAGGACACTCTACTCTTCTGAAGGTAGGGATCCCGTGTTCCAAAAACCAGACTTTCCAATGCACATCAAGAGGTACAGTGGGGTCAGGGATTTAGCTCAATGGTTCCGACGCCTGGCTCGCAAATGCAAGGTCCCGAGTTCAATCCCCGATACCAGAAAAGAAATGAAAAGAGGCCCAGTAAATGTGTGCTCTAAGAGGAAAGAGAGGGGGAAGAAGTGATAGCCTCACTCTAACTAGGATTCTGTGGGAGCTGCCTATTGAGGCTTCTTTCTTTTTGGGGGGGTGGGGGTACCGGGGATTGAACTCGGGACCTTGTGCTTGCGAGGCAGGTGTGGGAACCACTGAGCTAAATCCCCAGCCCGAGGATTCTTTCTTTTTAAACTAAACTTTTTCTTTTGTCTGTTTGTTTTTTTGAGACAGGGTATCAGGCTGGTCTTGAACTCTACTATGTAGCCCAGGCTGGCCTGGAACTCTGGCCATCTTCCTGCCTCAGCCTCCAGAGTGCTGGGATTACTGGTGTGCATCATAAGTTTCATAATATTTTGTCACTTGTGGGACTCCTCAGGCTCCCAAGGAGATCAAAGGGAACTCTGAGGGCAAGGTCATGGCACTCTAACTCCTGCTCTGGAGTTGCCCACCCAACCTGGGGCTCTCAGCCTGGCACAGACAGAAAAGCCATCCCATCCTGGCCTTCACATTGGTGGCTGGAGCTGGCCGAGCCATGAGTTAGTGCCACCCCCGCTTCTCCTGGCCCAGCACATGACAGGGAGGGGATTTCCTTTGGGGCCCTCACCGGGAATCCATTGTTCTCTTGCCCCACATCAGTGGGCCGAGAGGGGAGCTTCAGTAGTTTCATTTCCCTCATTTGGAATGGAGTTTTAAGAACCAAAAATCAAAACCGGAAAGAACAGAGGCCACCGCCCACATGGGCAGCACTCAACACCTCACAGTGCCAGGTTTGGAAAAGCTTAGAGTTGGTGCCGAGACCCCCAAGCTCTGGGAAATTTGAACGGAGGGCTTGGAAGGTGGATCTTCCCAGAGGGTTCACACCTGTCCTCCAGCCATCTGAGGGAAAAGGCGGCTCTGGCTCTGTTGCCCAAGGCCTCCTCCAGCCACGAACACCAGCAGCTGACCGCTGGGGGGACACCACCTCTTCCTCTTCTAGAAACACTGATGGTACCATGATGGTCAAGGATGACAATCCTGAGAAGTATCCTATTGGTGCCAGGGCACAGCTGCCAGTGGGATAGTGAAGGGAAGGAGTCCCCATAACTAACCACGACCCAGGGCAAGGTGGAATAGACGGGAGCACTGAACAGTAGGAACAAGGTGCCGGGAGCTGGGTGGGAGGAAGAGAGCACCCTCACTGGTGATGTCAGGCAGAATCTTCTGGAAGGCCTGATCTGGACTGTCAGGAATGGGCCTGGCTTAGGTCAGAGGCTGAAGGAGGGGTATGGAAGGTGAGCGGTCAGGACACAGCTGTGTCCAGGAGACTGTAGGACAGACGCTGGCTCCTCGTGGCGCCCCACTAGGACTTTGTTCACGGCTGGTGGGGGGATCATCGCCATCTGTTACAATTCTGCATTGCCTCCAAAACACTCCGTGTTGGCAGGTTGGGAAAATGGTTTGTCACATTTGTGTTTTCCCAAGCAGTCCTTAGTCTACCACCTTATAGGAGTTAAAAAAGATTTCTTTCAGGGCTGGGTATTTAGCTCAGTGGTTTTGCTGCCTGCCTCAAAAGTGCAAGGTCCTGAGTTCAATCCTTGGTACCGAAAAAAAAAAAAAAGAATAAATAAGTAAATTGAAAAATAAAAAGGTTTATTTCTTTTTCTTTGTTTTTTGAGACAGGGTCTCACTATACAGTTCAGGCTGGCCTTGAACTCACCATGTAGTCGAGGTTGGCCTCGAACTCGTGGCTGTCCTCCTGCCTCAGCCTCCCAAGTGCTGGAATTACAGGCCTGAACTGACACACTCACCAAGATTTCTGAACTGAACGAAGCTTAGTGTCACTTGCTCTGGAGCAGCTGGAGAGCTTGAGGACTTGGGAAGTCATCTGTTGGTCACTGAGAAACCCTTTTCCATAACTCACAGATATGAGCCAGAGTCCTTACTGTGGGCTCGGGGCCCTAAGACTTCCCTTCCGAGCCCCTCTCATTTCATGTCCCACCACTTTCCTCCTCACCCACTCCACTCAAAGCATGAAGCCCTTGCAGCCCCTCGAGCCAAGCAGGCTCCTGTCTGGGGTACCTGCCACTTGCTCCTTCCAAGGCTGGAATGTCCCCACCGCCTGCCCCTTAGCCCCTACCAGGCTCCTGCTCAAGTGACATGTTGTCAGAGGCCCTCCCTGACCACGGCATCTAAAGCCACATCCGTC